GAACCCCAAAATCAGCCTCAAAACACCCCAAATCCTCTAAAAAGAGCACTCCATGAGTGGCCCGGTGTCCTGGTGGTTGACGCCATGCCAGGTGACGGTCATGAAACCATTCCCAACCCCATTCCCACCCCCAAACCCCCAATCCCCCATTCCCATCCCAAATCTCCCATTCCCAATCTCATTCCCATTGCCATTCCCACCGTCTCCTCGAAGGAGCACTTCATGAGTGGCCCGGTGTCCTGACGGTTGACACCGTGCCGGGTGACGGTCATGAGACCATTCCCAACCCCACTCCCACCCACCAATCCCATTCCCAGCCCCATTCCCATCCCCATTCCCACCGTCTCCTCGAAGGAGCACTTCATGAGCGGCCCGGTGTCCTGGCGGTTGACGCCGTGCCGGGTGATGGCCATCAGGTGCCCGCGGGAGGTCATGGTGTCGCAGAGCAGCGCCAGGTGCCGGTAGTTGACGTAGGAGCCGTCGAAGGAGATGACGTGGTAGAGCTCCCGCTCCAGCGCCTTCCGCACCGCCTCGATGCCCAGAACCTGCCGGCACCGGCACGGATCGGAGGGGGGACATCCCCAGGTGTCCCCAGCCATGTCCCCAGGTATCCCCAGATGTCCCCAGGTGTCCCCAGGTGTGCCCCCAGGTATCCCCAGATGTCCCCAGCCATGTCCCCAGGTATCCCCAGATGTCCCCAGGTGTGTCCCTCAGCCCCCAGGTGTGCCCAGCTGTGCCCCCAGCCCAGGTGACTCACGGTGAAGATCTCCACGATGAGGCCCCAAATGTCCCTCCAACCCCTTCCCAGGTGTCCCCAGGTGTGTCCCTCAGCCCCCAGGTGTGCCCAGGTGTGTCCCCAGCCCAGGTGACTCACAGTGAAGATCTCCACGATGAGGCCCCAGATGTCCCTCAAACCCCTTCCCAGGTATCCCCAGGTATCCCCAGGTGTCCCCAGGTGTCCCCAGGTGTGCCCCCAGCGCAGGTGACTCACGGTGAAGATCTCCACGATGAGGCCCCAGATGTCCCTCAAACCCCTTCCCAGGTGTCCCCAGGTGTCCCCAGGTGCATCCCTCAGCCCCCAGGTGTGCCCAGGTGTGTCCCTTAAACCCCAGCCCAGATGTGTCCCCAGGTGTGTCCCTCAGCCCCCAGGTGTCCCCAGGTGTGCCCAGGTGTGCCCCCAGCCCAGGTGACTCACGGTGAAGATCTCCACGATGTCATTGGAGGTTGTCCTCACGGGGTCCACGTCCTTCTCGCTCAGGACCCTCATGAGGCTCACGCCGTCCGTCTCCAGGATCCACTCCTGGAGCGCCTTGAACTCCCCGTCCTCGGTGATGATGATCTTCTTCTTGTTGTCCGTCTGGGGCAGGTGCATGTACACCTGGGGAGGGGGTAAAACGGGGGTCAGGGGCACCCAGGGGGGCTGCAGGTGGGATCAGGGGTCTCCTAAAGGTCTCCTGGAACCTCCTCAAGGTCTCCAAGGAGAGATCCGGGTGCTCCTCGAGCTCTACCTGGAGCCCCCAGAGCACCCCTGGGTGTTACCTGGGCACCTGAGGGGAGCAAAAGGGGGGTCAGGGGCACCCAGGGGGGCTGCAGGTGTGGTCAGGGGTGTTTTGGGGGTCCTAAAGGTCTCCTGGAACCTCCTTGAGGTCTCCAAGGAGAGATCCGGGTGCTCCTCGAGCTCTACCTGGAGACCTTCCTGGACTCCTCCAGTTGCTCCTGGAGACCCCTTTACCCCTTCCTGGAGCCCTCCAGGTACCCCTGGGGTCCCTCCAGGTACTCCTGGAGACCCTCCACCCCTTCCTGGGCCCCTCCAGGTGCCCCTGAAGACCCTCCACACTCTCCTGGACCCCTCCAGGTGCCCCTGGGGACCCTCCACCCCTTCCTGGAGCCCTCCAGGTACCCCTGGGGCCCCTCCAGGTACTCCTGGAGACCCTCCACCCTCTTTCTGGAGCCCCCCAGGTGCCCCTGGGGACCCCCCCACACCCTCCAGGTGCTCCTGGGGACCCTCCCGGAGTCCCCCAGGTTCCTTTTGAGACCCTCCTGGGCCCCTCCAGGTGCTCCTGGAGACCCTCCCACCCCCTCCAGGTACCCCTGGGGACCCTCCACCTCTTCCTGGAGCCCCCCAGGTGCCCCTGGGGACCCCCCACCCATCCCAGCCCCCCCCAGGTGCCCCCACCTTGCTGATCTGCTCGATGCCCTGCAGGGTCATGTCCGTGAGCATGTTGGACTCGATGCAGCGCAGGAACACGTCGTCGTCCATCTTATCCACCACCTCCTCCTCCTGGGGACAGAGGGGGGACAGGGGTGACCCCCAGCCCACCCTGTGTCACCCCTCCCCACCCATGGGTGCCCAAACCCACCCCACCACGGGACCCCAAAAAGCTCCTCGGATGCCCTCAGGGCTCACCCAGGACCCCCCCAAACACCCTCAAGGGTCACCCATGACCCCCCAAACACCCT